GCAAACTACTCAAACTTACCTATAGATTCAATGCAATCACTATTAAAATACCAACGGCATATTTCACAGGTGTAAAATAAATACTCCAAAAATTATATAGAACCAAAAAGATCCCGAATAGCCACAGCAACCTTGAGAAAGAAGAATGATGTTGGAAGGATCACAATACCAGATATCAAGTTATACTACAAAGCAACTGTAATAAATACAGCCTGCTACTGGCACAAGAAGAGTTATATAGATTAATGGAACTGAACAGAGAACCTAGAAATTGACCCAAACCACTAGACTCAATATTTGACAATGGAGGCAAAAGCATCCAATGAAGTAAAGACACTCTCTTCAATAAATGGTGTTGGGAAAATTGGACAAGTATGGGCAAAGAAAAAATGTAAGTAGACCACCAACATATGCTGTACAAAAGAATAAACTCAAAAAAGATAAAACTCTTAAATATAAGTCATGAAATCATAAAAATCCTAGAAGAAAACATAGGCAACAAAATATCAGACATCTCGCATAACAGAATATTCACTGACATATTGCTGAGGGCAAGAGAAACTATGGAAAAAATAAACAAGTGGGACTGCATCAAACTAAAAAGCTTCTGCACAGCAAAGGAAACCAGCATCAAAGTTAAAAGAAAACCCACTGTATGGGAGAACATATTTGCCAGTGATACATCTACTATGGGGTTAATTTCCAAAATATATAAAGTACTTATACAACTCAATAACAGGAAGACAAACATTCCAATTAAAAAATGGGCAAAGAACTTGAATATACACTTCTCTAAAGAGGACATACAAATGGCCAAGAGACATATGAAAAAATGCTCAATGTCACTAATCACCAGAGAGACAGGAATTAAAAAGACAATGAGGTACCACCTCACACCTGCCAGAATGGCTACCATTAATAAATCAACAAACAAGTGCTGGCCAGGATGTAGAGAAAAAGGAACCCTAGTTCACTGTTTGTGGGAATGCAGACCGGTACAGCCACTATGGAAAACAGCATGGAGTGTCCACAAAAAATTAGAAATGGAACTGCCATTTGACCCAGTGATCCCAATTCTAGGTATATATCCTAAGAATCCTAAAACACCTATCAGAAAGAATATATGCACCCCTATGTTCATAGCAGCGCAATTTACAATAGCTAAGCTCTGGAAACAGCCCAAGTGTTCATCAGTAGATGAGTGGATAAAAATATGTGGTACATTTACACAATGGAACACTATGCAGCTGTCAAAAAGAAGGATCTCTTGCCCTTTGAGACAGCAAGGTGGGACCTGGAGAGTATTACGCTAAGTGAAATAAGTCAGGCAGAGAACGAAAAGCACCATATGATCTCACTCATAAACTGACTAACAAAGTAGATCCAGAGACATGGAAGCATGGAAGAGAATGAGGAATATCAGAGGGAAGGTGGGACAGGGAGTGGGAAGAGATTACTCAAAGAACTTACACGCATATATGCATAGCCCACGGACACAGACAATAGTGCCCGGGAAGGCCTGGGGAGGGTGCAGGAGTGGGACGGATGGGGTCAATGGGGGTAAAACAGAGACATGTGTAATGCTTTCAACAATAAAGATAAATTACAGTTAAAAAAAGAAATAAATTTTAAATTTAAATTAAAAATTTGAAAAGTTGTATTATTATACTGATGGTCATACCTAATGTAGAAAAGCACTTATTCAATAAATATGTATTGAGTTCTTACTACTATGACCAGCTAATTTAGTATACTGGGTAGGATGAACTTTAAACTCATATGGATATAAATTAAGTTCCCAGTTTACTAGACTTATGACTTCTGACGACTTATTTCATCTCTCTGGACCTATTTCCATGTGTAATAAAGGAGGAATAACAATGCCTACTTTGTGGAATGTTTCTATATAATCTAGATAATGGACAATGTACTATTTCCTCATGATGAGAATTTTTCTAAAATTGACAATTTTTACTCCTCAGTGTCATTCATTCATTCAAAAAATTTACTGAGGGCCCACTTCAAGCCTAATACAGCCCAGATTGTACTATATAAAAAAAGATAAAAGAAACACCCTCGAGGAGGTTTCACTAGAGGGGAAAAAAAACAAAACAACATGGAAACAATTATAAAACAATGGAGTATACCTATAATACAGATATTAAAGCAAAAAAACTAGTGACAAATTGAGAGCAGAGAGGAAAGAAAAGATAAATAAAGAAAGGCTTAACAGAAGAATGCACTGAAAAGGAAAAATAAAGTTAAGACTAAGCTTGAAGGATAAGTATGAATTATTAAGTAAACAAGGGACAAAAAAACATTCCATGCAGAGGTATCTTAATATGGTACATACAGAACAGATGCTTGATAAAACTTTTCCCAGCACTTAGGTTTTATAGGGAAAAACAGACAAAGACCAGATTGTAAAAAGATCTGTTGGACAACTTTGGTAATCAGCCTTTGGTTTTTGCATAATGTGGTATCACTGAACTATTTTGAGCAGAAAAGTGAAATGATCATCTCCATAGTTTAGAAAAATAGCTGGCAGGAGTGAGGAAGTGGGATAGTTAAGCAAGTATGGATAAACTTGAAAACTACAGGAAAGATTCAGGTAAGAACACCATAAGAAGTTAAACTAAGATGAAGCCATTGGTAATTTAAAAGAGAGGGGTGGGGCCCAAGCTGTGTGGCTCAGTTGGTTGGAACATGGTCTCTTACACCAAAGAGGCTGCAGATTTGATCCCTGGTCAAGGAGTGATTGAGAGGCAACCAATTGATGTTTTTTATCTCTTGTCAATGCTTGTCTCTCTCTCCCTTTCTCTCTCTCTAAAATCAATCAACATATCCTGGAGTGAGAATTTTTTTTAAAAAAAGAGAGATAGGGACTAATTAATAAAACTGATTGGAAGTGTTGATATGGAAAAAATGGAGTTCAAGATGGCTTACAATTTTAAACTTAAATGGGTAAAATTAACTTAAGGTAATAATTAATACAGTTAACCAGCTAATTACTCAGATAAACAGGTTTGGAGTTACAAAGAAACAGTTTGCTTTTGGTCATAACTCATACATTAAAATTAAATAAATGAATATGTGAATGTATAGTTGAGTGAATGATCACGGTGAAGGTCAGATTCTGTTCTTTCCTTAGTACATCAATATATACTCTACAGACAACACACAACCAAATTTTCCAAACAAAAGTGCCCAACTTTTGACTCCATATATAACATATTTTTTTTACTTTTTTCTTGAATTTTTTGGGGGGACATTGGTTAATAAAATTATATAGGTTTTAAGTGTATAATTCTATAATACATCATTTGTATATTGTATTGTGTGTTCACCACTTCAAGTCAAATCTTCCATCACCATCCCTTTTTCCTTCTTCTACCTCCCCCACTGCCTTTCCCTCTGGTAATCACCATAGTGTTATCTGTGTCTATGAGGGTATTTTTGTTGTTTTTTTGTTTTGGTTTTTGCTTAATCCCTTGACATTTTACACCCAGCCCTGCAACCCTCTACCCTTTGACGGCTGTCAATCTGTTCTCTGTCTATGAATGTGTTTCTGGTTTCTATTTTGTGAATTTATTTTGTTTCATTAGATTCCACATATGAGTGAAATCATATGGTGTTTCTCTGACTGGCTTATTTCACTTAGCATAATTTTCTCCAGGTTCATCCATACTGTCNTTCTCTGACTGGCTTATTTCACTTAGCATAATGCTCTCCAGGTCCATCTACACTATCACAAAGGGTAAGATTTCCTTCTTTCTTATGGCGGGGTAGTATTCCATCGTGTAAATGTACCACAGCTTGTTGACTTGATATTTTTTGACTAAAGAATATGGAAGTAAACTTGGAGACTGTGTATGCATATTCAGGTCTGCATTTAGTTTGAGACCCAAAAATAGATTTATAAAATAATGCATATATAAATGAATAACTGTGGCTTAAAAGAAGTAATTGCCATAAAAAAAACACACACTGCAGTAATGAGCCATAAAGAGATTATATCTGGAGAGCAAGGAAAATCAGGGAAAGACTCCACAGAAATAGTATTGTATAAAATGAAACATTATAATAGGGTCAATTGAAAAACCTAGACCTATGAGTGAGGAAACAAGTAAATGTACTTGATGCCAGAGATTGAACATTTGAAAAGGAAAACAGAGAAACATATGTTAGTTCAGTTTTGCCAGAATAAAGGATTTAAGTAAAAAGCTGAAAATATATCAAAATTATGAAGGACTAAGCTAAAAATTTTATTCTGTAGTTAGTGAAAAGCAAATGATTAGTTTGAGCAGTGAAATAACATGATCAGGAATATAAATCAGATATTAGTGGGTAAAATAGTTTAGAAGAAGAAAAGAGAAAGGATCCAAGATAAGGGGAAAGAAATATGAAGAATTTAAGCAGCAGGTAAAGAATTAAAACAACACACACAGATATATTACAGAGCTATAAAGTATAGGACATAAAAATTTATCTCATATAAAGATCAAAAAGGGGATGAAGAACATAGCTGACTTAAGTCTCTGCTATTATAAAGATTATGGGCCTCATAATTAAAACGGGACTTAAGGACATAAATGAACATGGGACTGAAGATGGTATATATAGGGTAGTATGGAAGCCTATATATACTATGTTTATTTCTACCTATGTTTTTTCCTATACATATATACCTATAATAAAGTTTCATTTATAAACTAGACACAGTAAGAGATTAACAACAGAGCGCAATTATAACAATACACTCTAATAAAAGTTATGTGAATGTAGTCTCTATCTGATAACCAATCAGATAACCAAGATGGCTAGTAAGTGACTAAAGGAGGATAGCTTACAGAGCACAGATACCATGGACAAAAAGATGATTCATCTCCTGGGTCGGGTGGAGAAAGGCATGGGATTTGGCCACACTACTCAGAATGGTGCCCAATTTAAAACTTATGAATTGTTTATTTCTGGAATTTTCCATTTAATATTATACCTACCTTGCGTGGTTGAAAATCATATTTCACACAGTGCTGAAAACCTTTCCCTTTGGACTTCAGTGATGTGACTATTAGACAGTTCCCAACAAAATGAGCAGAGTAGCCAACTCCTTTGCTAGTACGAAAACTATAAAGAAAATGAAGAACAGTATAATATCCTCTGATACAAAGAACTATGCATCTAAAGAATATTATTATATAAATAACATAAAACATTACTATAAAAATAAAACTTATGTACCAAATAAAGACTAAAACATAAAAGGCTTAGAAAACTAAGAGAAAGAATTTAAATTGGAAAAATAGAAGACAAAAGAGCCATTCAAAATTTCAATTTAAAATATCACAAATACATAAAAACAAATTAATGGCCCACAAAAGCCTACCAAGTCAGTTATATCAACCTTTAACAACTATCTGGAATTAGCAAATTTAAAAAAGCACTCATACAGTTAATGTTTTCTAAAACAACTTGTTCCATTATTTTACTATATCTTGTGGGAGTGGGGTAGAGGGGGTTAAAGGT